TCTTTTAAGCTCCATGTGGAAAACTTGGTAAAGAAACTGAAAGTTAAACTGGGTTTCTTTTTCAGAAACAGATCCTGTCTAACCCTGAATGTTAGGAAACACCTTGTATCTGTGACTTTCCTTCCCTCCATTGATTACGGTGACATTATTTACATGAACGCTCCTACAAGAACCCTGCAGATGTTGGATGCTGCAGATGTTGGATGCTGCAGATGTTGGATGCTGTCTATCATGGTGCACTAAGATTCATAACTGGCTGTAACTACCGTACCCACCACTGCACCCAGTATTCACTGGTTAACTGGTCACCATTAACTTCACACAGACTCTCTCACTGGTACATTTTCATCTTTAAATCACTTCTTGGTCTGCTGCCTTCATACATCTCCTCCTACATGTCTCTGTCTCGACCTTTGACCTCTCTAAGTGGCTTTAAGAATCTGTTGGACTCCTGGCAGGGACCAATGCAGACATGTTCCTGTTTTTAGTTTTATACATTCACCTTAGAATCTAAGTAGTAAGATAAGTAGTGTTTTAGAAACATCTGCAATGGTCCAGATTTTTGATAACATTATCTGATACGGTTGACATGAAGGATCTAGGCGAGATGAGTGTTGATATCCAAAAAAGTTCAATCTGGTCCTCTGGACATTCAAAAAACAAAAAACAAAACAAAGCAAAAAAAATATAGAAACGTTTCGTCTCTCAACCAAAAGACTTCCTCAGTCTGAGGTGCTGTTTTCAGCTCAGTCTCTTAAATAGCACCTTCTCAGAGTGGATCAACCAGTTTTGCTGCTGACAACCAGAACCAGCTGATCACATGGTCAAGAAGGACCATCAGCCTAACAATGGATCATTAGCACACTGATGATCCATTGTCCACCTGCTTGTTCAATAAATAGTGATATTAGAACTGGATCCAACTGGTGTCTCTTCCCAACATAGATGTTGGTCACAGCAGCTACATTCAATCGAAGATTAACTATGAGACCCAAAATATATTCCGTCAGTCGTAGCACAGAAAGCAGGATGTTTTACTCCGCCGCCATCGTTGACAGAAATATGCCGTTGGCCCGTGCGTGCGTGAAATATACGCCTGTAATGCGAATGTGCTGTCACAGTTCTGCGGGACTTTTCACACCTCAGCGGGTGGTCCAACAGAAAACCTCCACTCTGAGACCTGGGTTGTACAACCTCTAGATTCGGCGAGGGGAGCGAATGGTGTGGTGTACATGAACAGCCGAACCACAGAGAGAAAGGTGCGCTTCCACTCAAAATATACGCCGTGTAAATGGCTCCTTATTTGTTTGCAGGCTCTGTACATCTGTCATGTAATTGTGAAAATAAACATCATTAAATAAAAACTCCACAGCATGGTGGAGCAGCGATTAGAGACGTCACCTCACAATGAAAATGTCATAGGTTCAACTCCCAACCTTTCTGAGTTAAGTTTATAAGGAGTTCTCCCCTGCAGCCATCTCACCATTCCTAACCTGAACCCGGAGCCCGGCCTCACCCGACCTGGATTCGGACCAGGCTGGACCATAAAAATTTGCTTGATGTGCAGGCCAGGTCGGTGTCTGGCTTTTTAGTGCGCCAGGGCCGCGTGCGGCTGACAATCTAATTATATGCCCACATGGCTTGTCATACAGTGACCTGCAGCTCATGGCCATTCGACCGTGCACTGACCGGTCGGTTGAAAGAGATTAAAAGTTCAGTTAAGCTTCAGATGGACTACTGCCAGTGATCTATCACCCAAATGACGTTCATTCAGCCGCAGCACTCAGCGGACGCGTGCGGCTTTTGACCCAAACAGGTGAGATCTCAAAGCAGACACGTCAGAGCAGGATGCAGGCAGAAGCAGGGGAAGCATTTAATGCACTTTGATGGCTCCTCAGCTCTGATCTTCTGCCCCCTTTGCTCAGCCGCACACGTCCGTTGACCGTTAATAATAGTCGGTGGTATAAGCAGTCAAAGCTTAATTAAAAATGTTGGGGGGGGGGGGTTTCGGATCTGTAATTACTGTTAATTCGTCGGATCAGGTGGGGTTCAGAGCTGATGGCTGTGGGCTGGGGCCAGGTCGGATCAGATTTTTTCGACCCGAGTGCAACTCTACAGGTTCAGCAAAAACTCAGAATTGTCCCTGGGTGTGAGTTTGTCTCTGTGTGTCCCTGTGTTGGACTGGAGACACGTCCACGTGTCCTGTGATGGTCCAGAGACCTGTTCAGGTGTCCTCACTGTGACTGCTGGAAACAGACACCAGCTCCCCATGACACGGGATGGAGAAGTGGACAAAGGAAATTATTGAAATAAAAACAAGTAAAGAAAACTCTCTCTGAGGTTTTTGATTCTGTTTGATGAAAACACTAAAAACTCCAGCTCTGAACAACATCTGAGTTTTGATTTATTTGAGTGGTATATGTTTGTTGTTTGTTTGTTTGTTTGTTGATATGCAAGAAGCCTGCGCTCAGAGCAGTTGCAGCTTCACAGGCTCCCGGTACCATCCCAGCTTTAAGAAGTTTTGATATTGACTCTGTGCCTGACTCCGCGCAATTTATGCGTGTGAACTATAGCCGAACCGAACTGATGAGAATAGGAGTAGATTTGCCACGAAATGTAGCAGAAATCAGCAACAAACTCAAAACTACGCTCGGCAGAATGCAGATCTTAAAGTCATCTACCTGGAAGCTGCAGCAGAGGCGTTCCAGCGGGCAGAAGAAGAAGCGCTGCTCCCGGGTTAAGAGGAGAGGATGCCGGGCGGGGGTTATGGTGAGGCTAAGAGATAAGGCTAAAGCCGGTAAACTCCCTATGCCGTCTCTCTTTCTGTCGAATGTCCACTCGTTGGACAACAAGATGGATTTACTTCGTCTGAGAGCGGCCTCAGAAGAGATGAAGAAGTGTACAGTGCTTTGCCTCACGGAAACGTGGATTACAAGCGAAACGCCGGACACAGTCTTCCAGCTGGATGACAGACTTTTTTTTCAAGCGGACCGCTGCAGCGAGCTAACGGGGAAATCACGGGGAGGCGGAGTGTGCATTTACGTGAGTAAAAGTTGGTGCACCAACTGTACTGTTGTAAATAGCTCATGCACGAAGGCTTTGGAGCAAATAACAGTGAAATGTCGGCCACATTATCTACACCGCGAGTTCACGGTGACTTTCATCTCTGTCGTTTACATTCCTCCGGACGCTAATGCTAATGAATCACTGCAGGAGCTACATGATATCATCAGCTCGCTGCAGAACAAACACCCCGAGGTTCTTTACGTGGTAGCCGGAGACTTTAACCACATGAATCTAAAGGACTGCCTCCCAAGCTTTTATCAACATGTGGCGATTCCGACACGTGGAGACCGCACGCTGGACCGTGTTTACACGAAAGTAAAAGATGCATACAAAGCCGAACCCCGCCCCCACCTAGGACTGTCAGACCACATCTCAATATTCCTGGCTCCTGCTTACATGCCCCCGCTGAGACGCTCCAGACCGGTACAAAAGAAAGTTAAATGCTGGATTCAGGACAGTGGCCCCATACTGAGAGATTGTTTTGACCGAATAGACTGGCAGGTTTTCAGAGAAGCTGCTGAAAATGGAGGTTCGCTTGATCTTAACCAATACACATCCTCAGTTCTGGGTTACATTAGTACATGTACTGACACCGTCTCCACTATCAGAAATGTTAAAAGCTACCCAAACAGAAAACCTTGGCTGAATGCAGAGGGGCGTACCCTGCTGGAAGCCAGGAACACTGCCTTCAGGTCTGGAAACTCAGAGGAGCTGAGTAGGACAAGAAAAGAGCTGGTTGCTGGTATTAAGAGGGCCAAGG